TCTGGTCGCCCAGGATCTGGATGTAGTGGCCCAGGAGCTCCTCCCAGTGGCCCAAGAGCTCCCCATCATGGCCCAGGAGCTCCTCCCAGTGGCCCAGGAGCTCCACCCAGTGTCCAGGGGGGCTCTGGGTGTCTCCAGAGATGGAGCCTCCACCACTGCTCCCATGGACTCGGTTGGGTGGGCAAAGACCTTGAATCATCAGGTCCAACCATCAAAACCAACTTGAGCAACTCAACCAGGTCCCTCAGCACCATCTCCAGGGCTTTGGGCACCTCCAGGGATGGGGACCAATGGACTCATGGACTTATTTGGGTTGGGAAAGACCTTGGAGATCATCAGGTCCAACCATCTGAGGACTCTCATGGACTCATTTGGGTTGGAGAAGATCTTGAAGATCATAAAGTCCAACCATAAACCCAACTCAACCAAGTCCACCACTCAACCACATCCCTCAGCACCATCTCCAGGGCTTTGGGCACCTCTAGGGACGGGACCAATGGACTCATTTGGGTTGGAAAACACCTTGGAGATCATCAGGTCCAACCATTCAACCCAACTTGACCAACCAAGCCATGTCCCTCAGCACCATCTCCCAGGACCCACCACCAGAGACTGGGATGGAACCTTTGGAGACCACCTGCTCCATCTTCTCCCCCCAAACCCAGAGCAGGTGGCACAAGAAGAAGCAGAATTAAAGGTGGAACCATCAACCCAACCTTGTGTCACGTGGGCTTTTTTCCAAGGATTGAGCTCAAAACTCAAGGAATGGGGATGTTATGGGGACAATCTGGGTGTGGGGACAGGGACAACGTGGGGACAGGGACAACGTGGGGACAGGGATGAGGAGGTTTCTGGACCCTCCCCACAGTTGAGACCCAACACTTGGGTTCATACCAGAAGCTGTGCATTTATTTAGGAAGGTCGGCAGCTTTTTCCGAGGAGCTTCCATCAGTTGGTGGAAGGTCTGTGGGAAGAAGGAGGGTGGTGAGAAGGTGGGAGAAGGTGGGAGGGTCTTCTACAGTTCCCCCCACCCATCCTTGGAGCCCTTTCCCAACACCTACTTGGCCCATTCCACGTTGAGGATCAAGTGGTCGTAGCCAAAGCCGGAGACTCCGGCGATGGCCCGAGCGGCGTCTTCGCGGCGATGGAAACTGATGAAGGCAAAACCCTGGGGTGGAAGGAGAAAGGTTGAGGAGGACATCAGGGGTTGGAGAAGATCTCCAAGGGTCTTCTCCTCCCTCCAAGAAAAAATCCCACCTTGGATTGTCCAGTGGTTTTATCCTTGGCTAAATAGATCCTGGAGATGGAACCGAAGGGGCGGAAAAGCTCCTGGAGATCGGTCTCGCGCGTGTCCTCGGAGAGGTTGGTGACACGGATGGTGGCATTGTCATCAGCTGCAGGAGAGGGGGAGGAGGGTGAGGAGGAGGATGGACTCAGGGTAGGGACAAGGTGGGGACAAGGTGGGGACACTGAGGTGGCCCCAGGACTCACCTCGACGATTGGGCTGCATCGACTCCCCCCGGCGACTGGCGCCGTCACGCAGACTGGGAGGGACGTACTTCCCGGTCTTGCTCTGCTGGGCCTGGACTGGTTCTGGTTCTGGAAGAGGAAAGAGGTGGATGGATGGGATGGGTTGGGTTGGTGGGATCTTCAGGAGCGTCTAGGTCTAACCACCAGCATGGGTAGGGACACCTCCCAGCAGCCCAGGTTGCTCCAACCTGCCCTTGGACATTACAGGCATGGAGGAACCACCTTGAAGACCATCTATGGATCATCTAGGGGGTCTTCAAGGTGCCTTCCAACTCAAACCATCCCATGGTTTGAAGATCATGGAGTTCCAACCCCACCAGGTTGCTCCAAGCCCCATCCAACCTGCCCTTGGACACTTCCAGGGATGGGGCAGCCACAGCTTCTCTGGCCCAGGCTCTCCCCACCCTCCCAGACAAGAATTTCCTCCTCGGGTCCAACCTCCAGCTCCCTCTGCCAGTTTCAAGCCATCCCCCCTGGTCCCATCACTCCTACCCTTGGCCCAAGTCCCTCCCCAGCTTTCCTGGACTCCCTTCAGGCACTGGGAGGTTCTCCAAGGCCTCCCTGGAATCTTCTCCACTCGGACACCCCAACTCTCCCTGGGATCATCTCCCTGGAACCTTCTCCACTTGGACACCCCAACTCCCCCTGGAACCTTCTCCCTTTGGACACCCCAACTCTCCACAGAACCTTCTCCAGTTCAACACCCCCCTCAACTCTCCCAACTTCTCCAACCCTTGGATCATCTCCACATCCTCCTGCTTGGCAGGAGGAGCTGACCAACCTCCAGGGAGCTTCTCCTTCTCCCCCGTGGACAATCCCAACTGCTCAGCCAACTCCTTCTGCATGGGCCCCAGGGTGTCCTTGTAGGGACACCGGGTGGTCCAATGGTCCCCCTTGCAGATCCGACAGGACACGATCTTCTGTCCCTTCAGCTTGTTCATGGGATCCTCCTCCTCTTGGCAGTTCAGGTCCTTGGGAAAGGGAGGAGAAGATCCCATGGGATCTGGTCCTGGGGAGGAGAGGATCTCAGGGGGGCTCCTGGGGGGGGGGTTTCCTCTCCCACCTCCTTGCTGGTGATGAAGGTCATGAAGACGTCGTCGCTGACGGTGGTTGTGGCCACGTTGGGGCCGGGGGCGTCGAACTCGGAGTTGCCAAATTTCTTCCAGTTCTGGGGGG